TCAGCAGGAGAGTGACATGAAGTGATTTGAGATTTTGAAATTCACTCCTATTGTAGCACCAATCAACACAGGAAGCAAGGAAGCTAGGAGATGGGTTAGCACAGTTTTTAAGAGTGTAAGAGTTGATGGTGGAGAAGTAGGTAAGTGCTACTTAAGAGCTACTTAAGTGGTAGAATTAAGGAATTCTCTTGTATAAAATATTTGGAAATATATTATTTATTTATATGATAAATTTCCTCTCATTCAAAAATAATCTTGAATTAAGTCTCCCCAGATACATAAAGTAGGAAAAGACAGAAGAAAATTCGGGTAGAATGGTAAGTTGAAGACAAATCAGAAGTTTTTAATTTTGTTTTTGTTTCTTACAAATCTACAGGCTATAAAATGCCTTGTATTATTAATAAGGGTAAAAGGAAAATTTGGCTCTCAGATTCTAGTATCCTGAAGAAAAGAAATAGAACAGCTACACATTCACACTAAATATTGGAGTTACTCAGAACTGAAGCTTCTGAGTAAGGGGCAGTGTTTGTAGCCAGACTGCCTGGGTTGAATTCTTTGGTCTCTCCATGCTGGCAAGACCAAAGACTTGAAACCATTGAGCCTCAGTTTCTTTATCTGTGTGATGGGCATAATACTAGCATGCATCTCACAGATTGTCAGAGGAATTAAATGCTGTCATTAAACAAACATTTTTTGAACATTCACTGTATTCTAGATGTTCTATTTACTGGAGATCCCACAGAGATCAAGATAGACAATAGACTGAGAAGTTCTGGTGCTTACATTCTGCTTCAGGATGAGTGAGAGATGGTGGCAGAAATAGACAAGTAATAAACATACAGATGAAGATTGTCAATATCACAAGGCTGTCAGTTTCACCCAAATTTATTAATCATCCCAATAATCATATCAAAGGTATTCTTTTTGAAGTAAACCAGCTGATTTTAAGTTCATATGGAAAAATGAAGAGACAAGAATAGCAAGAAAATGTTTGAAGGAAAATAATAATGAGAGGGATTATCCTGATGTATTTTGAAACACTTTTATAGCTACAATAGTCGACATAGGTAGTGTTAGATAATGGGTAGAGGCAAATCAATTTGACTGACTAGAAAGTTGAGATCGAGGCCCATAGGCAACAGGAATTTGGTGTTTGATAGGGGAGTTATTTTAAACCAGGGTGTGAAAAGATGGACTATTCAATAAATTGAATAACTGGGTAGCTTTTTGGAAAAAAATTGTTGATACATTCATCATAGTAAGAGGGGAAAATTTACTTTCTGCCTAAATAAAATGTTAGCCTCAAAATATTGGTAAGCAGGGAGGCCTTGTATAGTGTAGCCTGTAATGCTGCCTTGAAAGGTAGCAGTGAAAAATATAACAACAAAAAGCTCAAAATCCTTACTACTAGTCCTGGTTTGTGTTTTCACTTTGGTGATGCATTTTATTTTTTATTTGTTAGAAAATATTTCAGATATTCAAAGGTATAAGAATATTATTATGAGCATCCATGAACCTAGCATTCCAAATTTAGAAAAAATAAACATTCCAAATGTTTGTGAAGCCCACATATACTATCTCTGATTTACGTGTCTTCTTCCCTAGGGCCTAGTTAAGTAAATGAGCCACCTCAGAGCTACTTAATTCTTTTAACATTTTGTATTTGAGATTTCCCCATGGTGCTTTATAAACATTAGTACTTACATTTTCACTTTTATCTGTATGGATATTTATTTATTCATTTAATTTTCAAATTTCTTAATTTTTTTTTTGTTGTTGTTGTTGTACGCGGGCCTCTCACTGTTGTGGCCTCTCCCGTTGCAGAGCACAGGCTCAGGACACGCAGGCTCAGCAGCCATGGCTCACGGGCCCAGCCGCTCCGCGGCATGTGGGATCTTCCCAGACCGGGGCACGAACCCGTGTCCCCTGCATCAGCAGGTGGGCTCTCAACCACTGTGCCACCAGGGAAGCCCTAATTTTCATATTTCTGATGGCCATGGGCACTTAAGGTGTTTATTTTTATTTTTCTCTTCCATCAGCAAATACTTTCAGGTCCACTTGCAGAACACACCCAGTATCTCACCTGGTCCAAGCCATCATCTTCTTGCTAAATCATTGCAATAAACTCCTCACTGGTCATTGCTGCTGCTTCAGTCTATTCTCAGGACAATGACCAGAGGGATTTTTGAGAAGTATAAGTCAGAATCTTTTGCAAATTTTCCCTATAAATGTCAAAGTAGTAAGATTTTAGAAATCCCTTCATGACCTGTCTCCCTGCCAGTTACTTCTCTGGCCTCATTTTCTCCTCCTTCCTCAACCTCAGCCAAACTGGCTTCTTTGCTTCTCCTCAGCCATACCAGGCATCCCCCTGCCTCAGGGAAGCACTTGCTGCTGCTTCTGCCAGAAACAGTCTTCTCCCCTGTGACTACCTCTCTCAACCATTTCAAGATTTTTACTTAAATGTCATTCTCGCAGCGAGGTCTTCCTCAGTCATACTATTTATATTCCAGTCCACCCCTGGAAACGATTTCCCTCTCTGCTTTATTTTTCTCCTCACCACTTATTACTTCCAACACATAATTTGCTGTATTGTCAGTTTTCCTCCACTAAAGGATTCAAGAAAGAAAGTATGTCTGCCCTTTTTGTCAACTGTCATCGCCTAGAAATCTAGAACTTTTCTTGCCGCATCCCAAGTGCTCACTAAATATTTCATGTAGGAATTAATAAGTGATACTTGGACATACCCATTAGTAGTAGATGGAGTTGCTAATTTCCAACATTTCTCAAGTAATTAACATGAAATGAAAGCAAAAAGAATTATATATTTACAATTAGCTGAATTTAGAGATTCATCAAAGATGTTTGGTAAAAAGGTGCCAGTATAAAATAACATGGAACTAGCAAGTGATTTAAGGAAATTCATCAGAACTGTCCTTGTCTGACCCCATCCTTTTCTGTTTCCTTCCAAGTTACCATATTGTATTTCCATTTCAGCTGCTGGAATTAGATTTGTGATTCTCTTGAATAGCTTTTAGTGCCCTTATGTGACAATTATTTGACCCCATGAGGCCTTTTGGATGACAAACAAACGCTGATGAATTACTGGCACCTTCTCTTACATTTTCAGCCCTTTAAACTAATTCTGTCTTTGCCAAGTACTATCTTGCCAAGTAGCAATATGTTACATACCCAAAATAGTTTTATTTCTGTTGGCCAAAGGAAAAGTTTCCTCCACCAAGAACAATCATTCTTAGGAAGTAGCAGTTAGGTGTAGCCATATATAGTCAATAGTCAAATGTGTTTTGTTTTATTTTCCTAGTTTCAAAAATATATTAACATTACAGAAGAAAGGGTGAAGATTTTAAGAGCAATATTGTTCATATTGTGACTAGGAATGTTGAAAGTGGCTCCCGAATTCAGCAATGAGGAAGATATAACAGCAAAATAATAATGGATGCTAACATTTACTGAAGATTACTATGTTCCCAACATCTGCTAAATGATTTACTTGATTTACTGCATTTTCTCCAACCCAGTAAGACTGATAATGTTTTTTACAGAAGTAAAGTATCACAGAGAAGTTAAATAATTCACCCAAGATTGCAGAGTTAGGGTTCACATCAGGCAGTCAGACTCCAAGGCTCCGACTCTTAACTCTTAAGCATCCTTAAGAAGGAATGAAGTGCAAGTGAAACATACCTGGAAAAATATATGGTTTTTTAAAATTTTATTGACACTTTGAAAACGTTTATAAATGTTTTATAATGTTTTCAGGCAAAACTCAAGAGTTTAAAATATGATATGACTTGTCTGCTTTAATCCATCCAGAAGCTACAGAGGTTATGATGAAATATTTTGATTTTTATAAACTCATCTGTTTTCTTCTAGAAGGTGCATTTGTTGTACTTACAAAGTTCATAAATTTTATTCACCAAAAGTAAATGGAATTTATTGTTCAAATGGGAAAAATCATTATTGTATATTCACAATAAATTTTGTCATAAGTTGAGTTTTTAATAAATTTCCAAACTCACTGAGCAGAATATTCTAGAATAAAAAAGAAACTGCACTTTCTGTGATAAACTTATCTTCTTTTAAAAAATACTTCTGGTAATCTCTTTTGGAGAGCCTTACTTTTATCACAAAGAAGTATCTTTTCTTAACTGGTACACAATTGGAAGAAATCCATTGCTATGATATGGACAGAAATTAATAGTATGTTTTCTATAAAATCAAACTGATAATTTGAGATGTATGAATTCATAATTTTAAATACAAAGCAAAGTCAGTTACATACAGGAGCGAAGCAGGTATCATAAAGGGGATGAAGTGGGCTATATTACTGAGACTATAAGACAAGTATTATATATAGGTCGTGCATGACACGATATACATAAACAAAGACTAAAAATCAGATGCTATAGCTCACTGTTTCATGATCACAGTAAATGCTTTTATTAACTGGATTGTGAAAACCTTCTACTTTTTAAAAATTTGCCATCTCTCAAGCTTCTATGTTGTGTTAGTTTTGAAATTTTTATAGCAACTCTTTGTAAATCATGTCATCATTTTGAGCACCACACAGATAACTTCTTTGAACTGTGCTTGTCCATTCTTAGAGTTGGAAAACTCCAGATTATGTATGACAAGTACTGTTTTTTGAACCGCATTCACTGTTTGTCTCTCTCTGTGTGTATGTGTGTATGCTTTTGTTGCAGAGAAGGCCAGCAATCTCCAGAACAATGGCAGAAGATGTACGGCAGATGCTCTGGGAATGAAGTGTACCACATTGTTTTGGAAGAAAGTACATTTTTTGCTGAATATGAAGGAAAGAGCTTCACCTATGCTTCTTTCCATGCACACAAAAAGTATGTTTCTGCTTTCAGAGTGGAATTAAAATATTAATCAGTCACACCTTTAAACACAGTTTTCCATAATATAACCCATATTGGTGCTCATAAGTTGCAAGTATTCTTGAATTTTTGACATAATTATTGAGACATTTGAATTCTGGCCTTTTGTATCGTCTCTAGGAGTTAAGATTCTTGGGTGTATCATATAACTTAGTAGGAATATTGACTTTAGTATCTTTTATCTTTAAAAATATTTTAATCCTGTAAAAATTCACATGAGAATGAATCTCCTTTATAAATCTAAATTTTAAAGTGTTGATTAAAAATTTAAACAAAGTAAAAATAACACTTATAAAAGCTAGGCATTTTTTTTAAACTTGCTTTGTCCAGAAAAATAAGTTAAAAAATAAATGATAGTACCTTCCAATTCAAACATAGAACATTATTATTTTTGTTCTTTTTGAGGGGAATTCTTTACTTAAGAAATAAAATGTATGTCTAACATGTAAATAATATATTATTAGTATTATAAAATATTAATATAACATTTTTAAGATTTGTAATAATCTAGTATATTCCAGTAATCTAATATCTAAAGTATTCTACTTTAATTCCCAACATGATTCTGTTTATATACTTTTTTAATATTTAAAAATATTTTTAAGTTTGATTTATTTGTAACACTATAAGACATATTGAGATAAAAATATTCAGAAGGTTTTGTGTTTGGAACATAACCTGAAAAAGTATAAAAGAAATTTTAAGTAACACTTGTTACACTCAGTGGTTATTATTTCTCCTAATTAAGTTGTATACCTATTCAATTTTTTTTTTCTAATTTTTTTTCTAAAATTCAAGACAGAACAAAAATAAATTTAGGGACCCTAATTCTTTCTCTTGTGACCTTGAGTAGGTTTCTTCCTCTCCCCTAAGCCAATGGCTTTTAAACTTTTTTGACCAAAGTAAGAAATACTGTTTTATCTTTTTTGACCAAATTAAGGTATACATTTTATGGTAAGACCTAGTATACACACACAAAATTTACAATAAAACTCTTACCGTTACTAAATGACATGTACTCTGATATTTCTATTATCTTTTATTCCATTCTTTTTTATTAAAAAACATATATAGTCTTAGTTAACTAAATTGATTTCACAACACACTAAGGACATAGTTGTTTTTTTTTTTTCTTTAAAAACAAGAGCCTTGGGCTTCCCTGGTGGCGCAGTGGTTGAGAGTCCGCCTGACGATGCAGGGGACAAGGGTTAGTGCCCCGGTCCGGGAGGATCCCGCGTGCCATGGAGCGGCTGGGCCCGTGAGCCATGGCCGCTGAGCCTGCGCGTCCCGAGCCTGTGCTCCGCGAGGGGAGAGGCCACAACAGTGAGAGGCCCCCGTACCGCAAAAATAAATAAATAAATAAAATAAAATAAAATAAAAGCAAGAGCCTTGAACTTTTAGGATCTTTTCAAGCTTTCAAATGTTCTTATTTGAGGTTTTAATTTTTCTCTGCCTTATAATAGTTTATTTTCTTACATATGTGAACTTTAAAAAAAAAAACTAATTGCTGAATTTAACCCTTAAACTCTTTTATTTTCTTTTTTAAATTAAGGTTTGGTGTCTGCTTGATTGGTATTAGGAGGGAGGATAATAAAAACATTTTGCTGAATCCAGGTCCTCGATATATTATGAGTGCTACAGATATATGTTTCTATATTAATATTACCAAAGAAGAGAATTCAGCATTTAAAAATCACGACCATCAGAAAAAAAGCAATGTATCAAGGTCATTTTATCATGGACCATCTAGATTACCTGTACATAGCATAATTGCCAGCATGGGTAAGTATAAATACATTTGGAAATATCATTAGTCTCTTTCTTTGAAAAGAATAATAAATATACTTTAATTTTTCTTAAAATTCCAAAGCCAAATTTAAAACATACTTGTGTGTATTACAAACTTGGTGTAGCTAAGTATACAGAACAAAATTTCTAATCTGTTAAATTGGTAAGAAGTTAAGCTAATTCAAAACTTCTAACGATGATTTCATATATCTGATTAGTATATAAGCACCTGACACTTCTATATTTCTTTGTCAGTTCTGTATTCAGTTATCAGTAATGGGTCTTTCAAATAATCTCCATTTTTCTCAAAACTCTCCTATCCATCTAATTCTCATCGTAGAACTTGGCTTCTGTGACACAGAAATTAAAAAAAAAAAAAAAAAAAGATTCAGACAAATAAGAATTTCCTTTAAATTTTGCCCCCAAACCACCTACACACCTATAAGCATTTAGCTTCTATCACAAGGAAAATGTGTTTCTTCTTTTAACTTCTAATATTTTAGTATAAATGCCTTCACTTATGCCATGGACCCTTCTCCATTTCCCCCTTAGGGACTTCAGTCTTTTATTCATCCTCATTACCTAAATTTTTTATTTTTTTTCAAAATCCCTGGTTCATTCTCTCCTCCCTCCCTCTGTCTTTGTCTCTGACTTCACCTCTCTACACACACACGCACACACACACACACACACACACACACGCACACACACACTTCTGGACCTCGTGTTACGACATCATTTTCACAGATAAATTCCTCTAAAGAGCTGTCTGCGGTTGACAGCTTGAAATCTTATTGTTCCCTCACGTCTCTACCAGTTTAGTCTGAAATGTGCAATCATTATATTACTCTGGCAAGGCCACCGCTCTCCTCTTTGTCACTAAATCCAATGGACATCTTCGCAGCGTGCGACAGTTCTTAAAACTCCAGTGCTTTTCCTCTGCATCCTGTACATTCATTTTCCCTAAATAGTCACATCTGATCTCAGAGATTCAACTGTCCTCCATAAATTGATGCTTCCCTTACCTAAATCATTACCTTAAACGTCTCTTCACAACAATATATTCAACTGTCCGTGGGTTATTTCTATCTGAGTGCCTACAGGAAAAACTGACGCGGCATATTCAAATTGAACTAATCTTTCCCCCCTCATTCAAAACCATTTCCACCTCCTTTTTTTTTTTTTTCGCTAGAAACAAATGGGACATCATCATCCTCTGATTGGTAATGCCACAAGTCTGACTGTTATGATTCCTCTCCTCTTACGCTTCATAATTCACTGAATTCTACTAAATCTGATCATTAAGTAGCCCCTAACATCATTTATTTCTGTGTCCACTCTCAGTGCTATCAGTGTGGTCAGTCTGAGCCTCCCTCACGCTTTCCCTCCACTGCAGCACCACCCCCCAATCTTTTGCGCACGCCTCCGGCCTTGCTGCCCTACACTCTCCTCTGCCTTGCAACCAGAGTAATAATGTTTACGTAACGTTATAGTCATTCTCCTGCATTAATCTTTTTAATTGCTTCCTATGAGCCATTGGAAAAACAAGTCTAAATTTTATAACATGGCTTACAATTGGATGATCAAAACCTCTTTTTTACATGAGGCAATCCCAGTTTGCCCAGGACAGTACCAGTTTATATACATTGTCCTGGTGTCATTATTAAGAGAAATCTACTTTGACTCTCAGGAAGATCTTAATTTAGAAGATAAATTACACTGTCACTTAAAGTTTTTTTTTTTTTTTTAAGGATTCTTTCTTATATTTTTAGTCCCACCTTTTACCATCCCTTCAATTGCTTTCCTAAGTCCCAATCATACTAAATTTCTTTCAGTCTTCACTAATGGTTTTTCACCAGTGGACCTTAATGCTTTGTTTCCTCAGGCGGGATCTACTCCTCAGCCCCCAACTTTGCCTGTGTAACTGCTTCTAATCCTTTGCGTCTCAGTCCCAATATCACCCCCTCTGAGGCATATTTCCTGGCCCTGCTTGGCCTTTGTTAAGTGAATCTGATTGTCATTGATATAACATGATTATTTCTCTTCCATAGCAGTTCTATTCATTTCTTTCACATATTCAAGAATTACTTATTGAGTACCTAGTGTGTGCCAGGAACTCTTATAAGTATTTGTGATTAGAGAACAAGCAGACAAAGATCCCTAGCTCCCAGAGCTAACATTCTATCATGGGGAAGACTTGCAATAAATAACACATATTAAAAAAAAAAAAAGTAAAGTATTTAGTATGTTAGAAGGTGATGAGTAATAAGATAAAAGAGAGAAGAAAACAGAGCTAGTAAAAGTGTGTATGAATTTTGGGAGAACTGGGTTTTTGAGTGGATTGTAGGCCTCATGGAAAAGGTGACATTTGAGAAAATATTTGAAGAAAATGAAGGAATTATCCCTGTGATTGTCTGAAAGAAAAACATTCCTTCAGGGATAATAACCAGTACAAAGGCCCTAAAGTACGAGTAGGAGCCTGACTGATGTGCTCCAGGAACAGTAAAGAGGCCCTCGTATACAATGGAATATTACTCAGCCATAAAATGGAACAAAATTGGGTCATTTGTAGAGATGTGGATGGACCTAGAGAGTGTCATACAGAGTGAAGTAAGTCAGAAAGAGAAAAACAGGTATCGTATATTATCGCATACATGTGGAATCTAGAAAAATGATGCAGATGATCTTATTTGCAAAGCAGAAACAGAAACACAGACGTAGAGAACAAACGTATGGATACCAAGGGGGAAGGGGGGGTGGGAAGAACTGGGAGATTGGGATTGACATATATACACTATTGATACTATGTATAAAACAGATAACTAATGAGAACCTACTGTATAGCACAGGGAACTCTATTCAGTGCTCTGTGGTGACCTAAGTGGGAAGGAAGTCTAAAAAATAGGAGATATATGTATACGTACAGCTGATTCACTTTGCTGTACAGCAGAAACTAACACAACATTGTAAAGCAACTATACACCAATAAACATTAATTTAAAAACGTAAAAGAGGCCTTCGTGACTCAAACATGATGATTTGATGGTAAGAGTACAGGAGATGAGAGGGAAAAGGTAAAAAGAGGTCAGATCCTGTTGGGCTTTTTAAGTCAGTGTAAGAGTTGTAGCTTCTACTCTGAGTGAAGTGGGAGTCATGATAAAGTTCTAAGCAGAGGAACAGCGTGATCTCACCTGTGCTGAACTCCGTTTTAACACAATCACTTTGGCTGCTGTTGAGAATAGATGGTTTAGGTCAAGGATCCAGTGTATTTTCAAGTGGCATTGGTAAAAAAGAAAAAAAATTCTGTGTATACTGTGAAGGTAGTGGAACCAGGATTTGCTGCTGAATGGGAAGTGAACTGTAAGAAAAAGAGAAGTGTAAAGAACTCAAGGGTTTTCATATAAGCAGCAGGAAAAAGGGAATGGCCATCAATGAGGGTGGGGGAGTAAAGGTTTAGTGGGAGCCAGGGGAGATACAGAGTTCAGTTTGGGACACAGTGAATTTCAAATATCTGTTAGACATTGAGAGGAAGATGTCAAAGAAGAGATTAGGGGCTTCCCTGGTGGCGCAGTGGTTGAGAGTCCACCTGCCGATGCAGGGGACACGGGTTCGTGCCCCTGTCCAGGAGGATCCCACATGCCGCGGAGCGGCTGGGCCCGTGAGCCATGGCCGTTGAGCCTGCGTGTCCGGAGCCTGTGCTCCGCGACAGCAGAGGCCACAACAGTGACAGGCCCGCGTACCGCAAAAAAAAAAAAAAAAAAAAAAAAAAAGAGATAAGAGTCTAGAGTTTAGGAGAGAGGTGTATGCTGAAAAAGTAAATTTTGGATTCCTGAGCTTATGTATTATATTTAAAGCCATGAGACTGAACAAGATCATTGAGAAAATGATTGTGGGCAGAAAAGGGATAAAGACAAAGGACCAAATCCTGCAGCACGTCAATATTAATATCAGGATGATGGGAAGAAACCAGCAAAGGAGACAAAGAAGGAGCTACTACAAGGTAGCAGGGAAACCAGATGAGTGTCCTGTCCTGGAATCCAAATGAATCAAGTGTATGCAGAGGGTGGAGTTACCAGCCATGTCTGATGCTGCTAGTAGGTCAAATAACATGAGAACTGAGAACTGGCTATTGAATTTAGCAAAACAGTGTACTTTGCCTTGATAACAGCCCTTTCAGTGAAGTGGTAGTGGAGGACGCCAGGTCAGAGGGGTTTATGACAGAATGGCAGAAGACAATGTAGAGAAACTAGATCTAGACGACTCTGAAAAAATTGTGCTGAAAAAGAGTGCAAAGAAGAGACTTGGTGGCGATGGTAGATGTGCAAGAAAGTGAGAAGGGCAAGTTAATCAGGAGTATATGTAAGAGAATGAGTACAGTGATGGACCATGGAGCTTAACTTAGGTAAGGAAGTGAAAAGACACCTGTTGGTTGAAGGAGACTGAAAAGCTAGTGAATTTAATAGATTATAGTTCCAGTGGGAATCAAAAAGGAGGGAGCTGGCAAGAGATGAGGTGACAATAAGTATCAAAGAATGAGATGCCAGAAATAGAGCTTATGTGTAATCAATAGTAATTATAAAATCTAGGGTATGACCGTGAAAGTGAATGGCTAAAGAATGATGGGAGAAAAGGCCATTAGTGGAGTATAATCTATAAAAAAAAACATGGAATCACTATGTGTACACCTGAAACTAATATAAAACTAATATAATGTTGTTAGCAGTACTTAAATTAAAAAAAAAATAAACTACGTGGGATGACAGACACAGGACTGAACAAAGAAAATAGTGAAAGATACTGGGTACAGAGCTGGGGTATTATAGGGGATGAAAGGAAAATGGTCTGAAAGAGGCAGTGAGAACATTGAGGGTATCTCCCCACTTCCAAAACACAGACATCTCTTTAGGTGTTGCAGCCTTCAGAACTGCAGGGAAAGATGTCAGAGAAGAGCCAGGTTTTGTTAGGGGAAGGAAGGATTCAAAGAAGAGCTTGTTTCTGTAACTGTGGCTGCTTTCTAAAATTGTGTCTTCCCTCTGCTAAATTCTGACTTTCTCTTGGTCATATCCCCCAAGCCCAGCTTGGTGCCAGATATCAGTGTTGGCAGAATTGTCAGGGAGCGACCACATTTCCTGTGTTGGTCAGGAAGATGGTGAAAAGGTAACTGGAGGTGATGTGGAGACATATTTGGGAGGGGGTGGAATTCAGAGAACATGGTTCCTTAGCAAGCAGGTGGGGACTTATCCTCACCGCAAGAGTAGGGCTTAGTTTTACATAAATGGAGGTATGTCTGTTTCATTCCAAACGTAAATGAGGGGGAAAAAGAAATGTCTGGTGAAACTCTCATGTTCATTTGCTTGAAGGATTTCGTCTGCCATAACTTCTCTTTTCTCTCTGAATTAGGCGACGTGGTCATCTGCAGGGGATAAATGTCATAAATATAGATTTGGATTAATAGTATTAAGATGCAAATCATATCATATGGCTTTATTTCGATAAATCAACCTTATAAAATTTCATGTTTGATCAGATCCAGTCACCTGATTAGTGGAAAAGTCAATTTCAGTTTTTCTAAGATCCCCATCTCACCTCTAAGATAGATTGAATTATAAATTAATCCTTATTTATGGTGCTAAAACATTGGCCGAGTGTACAGCTTCTGATGCCAACCGCCTTTGTCTCTGCTCAGATACTGGAATTGCTGACTGCTGGTCATCACGTCCTTTCCTTGGGCACAGCAGCTCTAGACATATTCTTACAGGCCCCTCGCAGGAGTCTCCCCTGTTGCCTGTAGACACACCAGCCCACCCCTCCCTCTAATCTGAGTGTTGTGTATAGTATATGAAGAGGTACTAGCCTCTAAAACCTGACCTCCCACATTTCAATGTTGAGGAATACCCAGATATTCTCCCCAGTCTCTTGTTTCTATCAACTTTCACACTCAGAAACATTGAGATGCCAAAACCCATGGGGTTCCCTCCCCCCTTTACAAACTCAGGCTGTTATAGTGGAGAAGGTGGCAAGGTCAGACAGAAGTCTGAAGGAAATGGAGAGTGTTTTAATAGTTGCTTCGAAGAATGAGACGAAATGAGGGCTAAGGGCTTTCAGAAGGATGACCGGCTATCCATAAGAGCATATGTGAAGTGAGTGATCGTAAAATATGGAGGCACTTATCCGTTAGATTGGATTATTTCTTCCAGAAGGGGAGAGACATCCACTTTCCATATACTGATGCTTAGACTAGTTTTTAAATGTTAGTTTAAAATCTCAAAGGAAGTTGTTTCTTCCGCTTACTGTTCCTTGAGTATCCCAAAAGGCTTAAGCTATTTAGATTCGCTCTTGCTATTGCCCCAAGGTATTTCCGTGGCTCCTGTGCTCATGATTTTCTTTTAGGTCAAAAAAATCAAATGTCATGATTTCAGAGTAGCCCTTCTCATCCCCTAGAGAAAAGCTCATCCCTCCTCCCACTTCCCATCCCCACTATTCCGTATCACATAATTCTGTTTTATTTTCTGCATGGTATTTAGTGTTATCAGGAATTACTTTTTTCACTTCTCTGTCCACTTGATTATCTTAAAGATAAATCCGTATGTGTAGAAACCTTGTCTGCCTTGTTCCTTGCATATCTCAATTGCCTAGACTAGTGCTTGCCACACAGAGTACTTAATAAATACTTGTTGAATAAACATAAACATTAATGGTTCTACTGTAAAAAAGTGGTTATAAATCAGTAAGAGAAAGATAACAAAATGGGGGAAAAAGATATAATGAGAAACCCACAAAATGCAAATGGCCTAAATTTTTTTCATTAATTTTAAATAAATATAAATGGAAACAAGGTATTTTTTTAACCGAAATTTCTAAGTATTTCAGGATTTCACAAATCTTATGTTTCATACTATAGAGCTGGTTGCAGCAAATACACTTTTGCACAAATACAGACATTTTCTTTTATCCATGCGGGCAAAAATACTCATATTAAAAAGAAATAAATAACATTTGAGATTAAAGGATAAACAGTATATCGTATATTTCCTGGTTATACTGGCTGTATTTCATCTCACTTTGATCATTAAATGATTGACAGGTCCTATAGGTTAGGTGGCAAATGCTTTGATGGATTTTCATGTCTCATTGTTCCAGGTACTGTGGCCATAGACTTGCAAGACACAAGCTGTAGGTCAGCAAGTGGCCCTACCCTGTCTCTTCCTTCAGAAGGAAACAAAGAAGTCAGAAGACCCAGCATTGCTCCCGTTTTAGAGGTTGCAGATACGTCATCACTTCAAACATGCGATCTTCTAAGTGATCAATCAGAAGATGAAACTACACCAGATGAAGAAATGTCCTCAAATGTGGAGTATGTTTGTAAGATTTACTGGGATTTGTGCTTGCCATGAAAAACTAATATCCTTCCCTTCTGGACATCCTAGAATCAATCCTACATGCTTCTACCAAAACACCCTTCCTATTAGCCAGCATCTCTCTTGATGATAAAGTAACCTAAGTCCCCAAATTTCTGGCTTCAACAGCTATTGACAGCCTCATTTTTCTCTATATTATCCTTTATCCTTAAAGAAAAAATAGGTAAATCGGCATTTCCATGATATAACCTATATCATATTTTACATATTTTTCTTTAAGGATACAGTTTGTATTTTCATAATTATATGATTTTGTTGAATTATAATGTACCTTCTACCTCTAATTTATTTTTTCACTTCCATATTGAAGTTCAGTCAATTATTCAATGATGTGTAATGCAGCTTCTTCCATTAAGCTTCTCTTATTTCAGCATTCTGCCATCATTTTTTATTCAGGATACATCAATAATATTTTGAATGAATGAATAAAGGAAGTACTGGTTCTCTTTACTAAGATTCCATAACAGATAGTATCAATGTTTAAGCTATTAATCACATTTTAGCCTACAGTAGAGATTGTTTACTTGTCGTATATTATGTTGGCATTTCTTTTTTTTTTTTTTTTTTTCGTTACGCGGGCCTCTCACTGCCGTGGCCTCTCCCGTTGCGGAGCATAGGCTCCGGACGCGCAGGCTTAGCGGCCATGGCTCACGGGCCCAGCCGCGGTGGGATCTTCCCGGACCGGGGCACGGTTTTTTTTTTTTTTTTTTTTTTTTCGTTACGCGGGCCTCTCACTGCCGTGGCCTCTCCCGTTGCGGAGCATAGGCTCCGGACGCGCAGGCTTAGCGGCCATGGCTCACGGGCCCAGCCGCGGTGGGATCTTCCCGGACCGGGGCACGAACCCGCGTCCCCTGCATCGGCAGGCGGACTCTCAACCACTGCGCCACCAGTGAAGCCCTGTTGGCGTTTCCTGAGGAAAGCACAGTGTTCAACAGTCTTGACAGTGGAGTCTGAAGGAATTTGTGTCCCATGGCAGTTCTACCTTATACTGGTTGTGTGCCAGTGACTTTGATTAAATCTTCTGACCCACGATGCTTTATCTGTAAATAGTGTTCATATGAAGATTAATTGAGATAATAGAGTAATGTGCTTAGGACAATGGTTTGTGCAGAGTAAGCATTCAATGAGTATTAAATACTATTTGGTGTAGTATTGGTCGTAGTGGCAAAGGTAACAGTCAAACACTTCTAATATTTTTCATATAATAGAAGTTCAATCAATGTTGAGCTGAACTAAAATGAACTGAAATATAATTGAAACTTAGAAAAATCCTTCTGTTAATCCTTCACACTTTTAAATATTTATTACAAGAAACTTACACATACCCACAGAAGACAAGTCCACTCTCCAAGAAATTAATAATACTCAAATAGATTTATGAAATATTTGACAGGAAGGAGAAGAGGTTTGACCACCAGTATATTTCTAGAAATGGTGTTGTGTGGTGTGATACAAATTCTTTCTTTACATGTACTGAAAAAACTGAGGTGGAATCTTTTTTTATATCTAGAAAAATGAAAAAGATGTTGAAATAATAGTGGTAGACTATGAACTTCTAAATTTGCAAAATGTTCCCCATTTTACCATCCTAGCTAATGATGTCTGGAATAACTAGATTTGAAATTTCTTGGTTTGAAAGATAAATTTTCTTTATCAAAAGAGAGCTTTCATATTGGATAAAATAACTTTGCCTCTACTAAATTTTCTTTTATTTCTTAATTTCCATTTGTGCTGCTACTTTTTGATAGTTTCATTTTGAAAATTTTACAACCATAATGTGACTATATTTATAAAGTCAGCAAATAAACTGAGCATCTTTGATAATATTTAAGCGTGATTCCAGCAAAAACTCTGGCTTTTGTGTGGGTCTAATGATTTACTCAATCTAAAATAATTTACTCTTTTTTGGTTATGCATCCATGACTGATGAATAGTGATAGAGTGAATCATAATAATGCATTTTGCTTTAATGTGTTTCGTAAAGATTAACATTACTATTTTCTAAAATGTGTCTAAATCTTTTAAACTAAGGATTGGCAAACTTTTTCTGGAAAGAACCAGCTAGTAAATATTTCCAACTTTATGGACCATGTGGTCTTTGCCCCAACTACTCAACTCTGTTTCTGAAGCATGAAAGCACCCCAAGACAATACATAAAATGAGTGAGCATGACAGTGTTCTGACAAAACTCACTTCTGGACACTGAAATTGAAATTTCATATAATTTCATGAGCTGAAATATTATTCTTCTTTTGACTTGTTTTTCCAACCACTTAAAAATATTAAAACTACTTTAGTTCACAAAACCATGTGATGAGCCAGATTAGGTCCATGGGCCCTGTTCTAAACTATTTCCATATCAAAATAAAGAATTACTGCATCTAACTTTATCAAAGTAGAGGAACATGGCTATAACTTGATTGTCTGACTTTGCCTGCATTAATTCAAGGCAATTCAATATTTCATATTGTTTTACAGATATGCTAAAGGCTACCCACCTTACTCTCCATATATAGGAAGTTCACCCACCTTTTGTCATCTCCTTCATGAAAAAGTGCCATTTTGCTGCTTAAGACTAGACAAGGTAAGCACTTACTGCTGTTATTTTCTGTAAAACTAAAATGATGGCATTGTGTAATTACATGTATTTAAATAATTTTGTATAGTCTTTTGACTAAAATATGTTAAAAGAATATTATCTTTCAAATGTAAATGTAATACATAAAGTGGTGAATTTTACTTTCTTAACTGCACTAGAGGTTACCCAAGTGCTTTACCCTCTACTAATGTAGCCAACGAGTTGGTCAGTCTTTGTTTCAAAGAGAAAAACAAAGATGCCAGAGCCTCAAACCAGAGTCTCCCCAGATCATTTTGGCCAGATGCACTCTATTTATTTTACTAGACATTTTTGCCTCAAATCTCAAAGTGGAATCGCTTGACATGGTGAAATTAGCTAGTCATAATTGATTATTGAATTATTAGACTGGAAGTGTCTTGCTTAATGTCCCCTTTCCTAAAGATTTTACAGTAGTTCTTGGTTCCTGTCTTGATATTCATGAGAAACCATCCAAAACAGAAAGATTCCAAGAAAGCAGGAATCTTTCTCTTTCACAGTATGGCCATTGGACATGACCTGGGTAAGAATTTGTTTTCATGATGAGTCAGAGAGCAGGTAAAGAGAAGACTCTCAAACCCCCCATCTCCCAGAAATTAAAATGTGCCACTAATTCTAACCAGGAATTTCTTCTTTTATTCTATATTTTGGAGTTAGCTGGAGTTAAAATCCCAGCTCTCTGCTTACAGGCTCAGCCATTTGGGCAAATAACATTATCATTAAACTTCAGTTTCCATATCTCCAAAATGCTTGTAATTTTAATATGAACCTTATAGGGTTCTTGTGAAGATGATATAAATTCACGCATGGAGAAAGCTTTTCACAGTGCCAGGAACGTAATAAATGTATAGGCACTTAATACATTTTGTTAATATTTTTACTACTGTTATTTTTTCCATGTGATAAACATTATGAATCTTGGCTGTAGCTATCACTCTTGAGGAAGATTAGCAGATCATTAGAAAATTTCTGCCTCTATCTTCCTAAAGTTTTTTTGTGAACCCTTACCCCTGCTCCCAGATGTTCATCTGGGTCCATTAAGGTGGACAGTTCCGTCTCTCGATGCCTTATTTTTTGTCAGTCCTTGTTTTGCTTTCCTGCTTCACGGCATTTCTAGTGCTGGCTCGCTCTGCATCTTTGGTAACCTTGATGCATCTTAAGCTTCAGAGCCCTTCTCCTGTATTGGCCTCTTCCAAGAACCTGTGACTGATTTTTTATGTATGACTTTTGTGGTTTTTTCCTTAAAGAATATTTCCAAAATAATATAAGCTTTAGGTCCCATAAAGCTTGGGTTCACATCTGGTGGCATTTTACTTTTTAACACACAAAGATGAAGGTAATGTTGGGAAACCGAAGAGTCGAAATGATTCCACTGATTCCCAAGAAGGGAACCTGATACAGGAAAAGTTAAACTTTCAGAGATGAGGCTTGCTGGAGGAGAAACACTCTTTTAAAGCCAAAAGACAAGTTGTCTCTTTACCAAAGTAAAAAAGCGATGTTTCCGAATATCGTTGATGGGCCGATAACATCTGGGGTTATCCATTCTTTAGGTGGCGTTAGTCTGGCTGGAGGTGGTGGTCTGCTCTGTAAATGAGTGCCCATTTTGCGATTAGCAGATGGGGTTATGCAGCCAATCCTACTGTGTCCATGAAGTCTGTGAGCAGGTATTTTGTTGCCCAGTCCGTTTTGCATTAGTATCAGCAGGCTCCTTTTTGGTCAAGGTTTATCAATACTAAATTCCCTGTTTTGTCCTTGTTCTATTTCTTTTTTTTTCTTACTAGTTGAGCTACTTCTAAATCTTCTAAATTAGTTCTTTTACCTCATTTGATCTCATAAAAATGAAGTTCTTAATAATCTCAGCCTCAGCCTGTCATCCTCTCCTTCCACAATCTCTTTGCACGTGACCTAATTTCATGTGGCTTCAGATCCTTTTTATAGTAGTAATTCTCCCATCATACTTCCAGTGAAGACTGCCTGTCCTCCGTTACCACTCCCCATTTCTCCATTCTTTCTTATGCCTTAATCCTTCCTGCTGGATTGATCTTCCTACTTGCATGATTACAGCTTTTAGAAATTCTACTAATGAGATCCTGTTAGTGGTAAATTCTTTCAGTTTCACTTTCCCTAGATATGTCCTTATTTTGTCCTCCTTCCTGAAGAATAGTTTTGCTGGGTGTCCAATTCCACGCTCTGAATTTTCTTTTTCTTTTAGCCTGTTAGGATTCTATTTACTACCTTCTGTGCTCCACACTGCTGATGAGAAGTCGGCCATCGTTCTAATTTGTGTTTCTGGTAGTTAAAGCTCTCTTTTCTCTCTGGCTGCTTTTAAGATCTTCTTCTTGTCTTGGCTGTTCTGCACTATAACAATGTGTATGACACTGGGTTTCTCTTTATTTATTTGGATTAGGATTCATTGGGTTTCCAGAACCTGAGGATTTGGATATTTCATTAATTCTAGAAAATCCTCAGTCAATATTTATGTGAATAATGCTTCTTGCTGATTCTCGCATCTCTTTTTCAGGTATTCTTTTAAAATGTGTATTAGACATTCTCACACTATCTTCCAAGTATCTTAATTTTTCCATACTACTTTCTCTTTTCTTTCTGTATTCTGAGTAATTACTTCAACTAAATCATGCAGTAGATCCCTTCAGATGCATCAAATGGGCAATTTAAATCATCTTTTGAGCTTCTGTTTTTAATTGTTATATTTTTAGTTCCAGAATAGAGTATATGCAATTTTTTAAACATCTAAGTGAATATTTTAAATACCCTCTTGTTCTTTGCTCATGCTTTGAATGTTCTCTTTTATTTCTTTAAACATAGTAAACATGCTCATTTTCTATTCTGAATCTTATAACAGTGAGATCTATAATCTTTGTGATTCTAATTCTGGTGTTTATTGTTTCTGCTGACTCAAAGTACCTTGTTCCCAACAATGTTCTGTAATTTTTTATTAAAGAATAAAGGCAGAGAACATTCCAGAGTTGATGATGAATCCACAGAGAATCAACGAATCTCAACCCAAATAAAAAGAAACCCTCATAAAGACATATACAGATTAAAAAACCGGAACACTAAAGCAATTCTCCAGGCAGAAAATTTTGTTTAAAAGTATCTTAATTTAATAATGCTAAGTCCAGTAAATTCTAGCTCCCTAGGAAGTAGCAAAATATCTTCAGGAAACACATTTTGGTAATTTGTTGTTATTATTGTTAACATTAGTATTTTACATTTCAGTATTTGCATCGCTATCTTGCCAGCTCAGGTATACATTTAGACAATTTGGGTTTTTTTCTTTTAATTTTTGTTTTTGTTTTTTAACCAAAAAAAAAAAATCCCTTTTGATATCGATATCCATCCTTTTGGTATTCCATACTTGGAATGTTCCAAGGTTACTTAATTTTAATATTACTCTATTTCTGGAAATAAAGTCAGAGGCAGATTATTTATTTTTTTCCAGCTTTATTGAGGTATGATTGAAAAATACAAATTGTTTATATTTGAGGTATATAACATGATGCTTTGATATACATATACCTTGTGACGATTCCTTAATATTGATACCCAGATGTCATCTGGCAGCAAGTTTCAGTTTGCAGTGGAACATGTGTACACTGTGTTGCTGCCTTTTCCTTCCCCAAATCAAGCTGCATACCTGCAATTCATTTGTCTTGTCCATGCACACCTTCAGGCTGGAGAACTGGGCATAGAAAAATGTAACTATTTTCAAATTTGTTAGAAAACAAAGGATTTACTAGGTTAGATTAATTTCACATTTCCAGATCTTCTAAATATTTTTACCCAATATTAGTGGAGTATAAAAATGGCCTTTCTTTGTATAATTTTTCTTCTCTAGAGTTGCCAGCATAACTACTATGAGGACGCAAAAGCCTATGGATTCAAAAATAAGCTAATTATAGTTGCAGCTGAAACAGCTGGAAATGGATTGTATAATTTTATTGTTCCTCTCAGGGCTTATTATAGACCAAAGAAAGAACTTAATCCCGTAATACTGCTATTGGATAACCCGTAAGTATATTTTTAAATGCACAAACAAGACAAAAATTTGTTAATATTTTATCAAAAATAATTTAATTTACTTAGAATATTTTAAATCAGATGCATTATGGCACATGATTCATTGAGAGATATATTCTGTGCTATGGTAGAAAACAACCATTGTATATGACTGTGTTTCACAAATACAACTTAAAACATCACTGGAGTACTCTGAGCCTTTTATTTAAAACTGTTTTTGCAAGTGGTCATTGCTCTCTACCAGTGGGAAACATGCCACTGAAATAATTATAGTTATTTTCATTAAATTAATCAACTAGCCTGGAAAATCTCTGCCGAAACTGGACAATTTCATTGTCTTTGTGAAGAACCATTAATTATCAGAGGAGCATATTAATGATCCATTTTATATCATACCATTACACATCATCATAAGTTCTTATGATTCTTCCACTGTTAAAACGTATATTCTGTAACATAACATGAATAGTTTGTGCTTTACAATGTTCATTTCTTTTGAAAATGTTTGATTGATATACTCTTGTGAAATAAGACTACTTAAACATTTCAAAATCCTTATATGAATATAAATATACAATCACTAAATGCTGTGGTCAAATCCATTGTATACTAAAATTGCAATATTTCTCTCTCTGACTCGGATTAGTAGCAGATGGTCCATAAATCAATACTATGTTTTGGAATCCTCCAACTCTCCTCTTAAACGCTAAAGTGATGCAAATTTCAGGGTAAACCAAATGAGGCCAAAATCTGCTGCCTTGCCTCTGCTTTTAAAATTTATCAAAAGAACTTTTTCAAAACAGAGGTATCGCCCCAATATATTGTAACTTCATGACATTATTTATTCTGAATATATGAATATCAAGATACTGATTGCTGCATCTTGTTTTAGAGTCAGTATCTCAATGGTAATCAACTCTAAAACTTGAGCACACCTCTAGAGGTTTCAGTTGAAGAATTTTCAGGTCTGATGACTCGATGACTTCTTTGATACCACTTTAGCATCCAAGGAAAGGTGAGATAAATTAAGGGCAGGTGTAGGGGAACAAAAACTTGGACCCAAAGTCAGAAGAAATAAAAGCTTAATAAAACAAATCTTAGGAGAATAAAAGTTGAATTACTGGATGGCTAGGGTGATAGAGTATGGTGGCAAAGCACCTCCAAGGCCTTGGGATATATCCCTTATTCTGGAACTTTTCTGGTAGGAGGCTCTAAGAAACTGGCGAAGATCTGGCACATAAGAGATGCTCATCAACTATGTGAATTCAGAAGTGTCCAATTTTGGCTCTTTTTGCTTATGGTGTAATGTGTCCACTGCCTTAAAGATGAATTTAAGACAGGGGTATTTACAAGTTGATTGACTTAGAGCATTCTCATCTCCGATGGCTTGGATCAAAGTGAATCAACTCAGGCCCCAGAATACAGAGAAGCAGATAGGAAGAGGCTTAGAAAGAAAGAAGTGGCACTGTGCCTACGGCAGCCCTGTGATAAAGCAAAGTGTAAAAACTATCCTTTCACCTTCTTTATATTATTTCAAGGTATAATTTCTTGTCCTGTTGTGTAAATCTCCTAATTGGGTTCTTGGACCCGATTTCAATGTGTATGTGTGTGTCAGAGGGTTTCTCCACACCTCCAGCAAGCAATGCTCAGGACATCAGCTCAGTTCTGGGGGAATTCAACTCACTTCTGACACCATCTACCCAGAAATAGCATCGCATTCCACAGGTTGAAAGTTCAGTCTTACAAAACTGTCCCACCCCCACTTCAGAAGCCATTCACAAGCCAGGTTATCACCCCATAACTGATCAGCTATAGATTGGAAGTTTCAGTGACCCCCTCCTTGGACTTCAGTTGCCAGTTGCATGTCTAGATTGTTACCTGTATTTCTGACTGAGTGGCTTTAGATCGGGGGTTCCCACAACCACCTACTCAAGGTCAAGTTATTTGCTAGAGCAGCTCACAGAATTCAGAGAAACATTTTACTTACCAGATTGCCACCTTATTATAAAAGCATATAACTTGGGAACAACTGGATGGAAGAGATGCACAGGGCAAGGTATGGGGAAAGGGCATGGAGCTTCCATGCCCTCTATGTGGGCACCACTGTCACCAAATCTCTACCTGTTCACCAGCACAGAAGTTCTCCAGACTCCATCCTTTTGGGTTTTTAATGGGGGCTTCATTACATAGGCACGATTGATTAAATCCTTGGCCATTGGTGATTGAACTCAATCTCCTGCCCCTCCCCCTTCCTCAAAAATCACGGGGTGGGACTGAAGTTCCAACCTTCTATTCAGGTTGGAACTTCAGTTTCCCTGGCAAACAGCCCCATCCTTAGGTACTTTCCAAAAGGCACCTCATTAATTTAAACCCAGTGGTCCTGGAAAGGGGCTTGTTATGAAGAACAAGACACCTATTTCACCGTTTTTGGCTCCGAAGTGATTTCACGAATTGAGGATTAGAGACCAAATATTATGACAAAAGATGCTCCCATTGCTGTTATCACTCAGGTAATTCCAAGGGTTTTGGGAGCTGTGAGCTAGAAAATGTGGTGAAGACCAAATATATGTGAGAAATCTGAATGTGAATACCAAATATACATTCCTTATAAACCACAATAAAAGAATCAGTCTTGCCAAATTTGGGAGTGGAGTTTACTCCGTGGAGTGGAGATGGGCTCCACTTCTTTTCCATATCCAGTCTTGCTAAGTAATCTTATCTCAGAGTCACTAATCCTCCTTTCTCCCCCTTATTATTCCAATGAACAGGTGGCAGGAGCTAGGATTTCTTAACCTGTGTAGACTTTGGAATTGCCATAAGTAAATCAGCCTCTTTCTGTTTGGTTTTGAATTAACAGATTACCAAAATGCCCAGTTACTGAATGATTGATTGATTGGTTTGTATATTACAATTATAAAAGTCAAGTGGTTATTTCTAGAGTCTTAGTTCCTGAATCTGATCAATCACAGAAAAATCTGAAGACTGTTTCTCTTAGTTACTGGCAAACTGGTCAGTATTTCAATATAAATATAGATGTAGCTTTTATCAGAGAATATTTTATCTGAATAATACTGTAGTGACTATTTAATAAAATTAATATTCTTTGCCACCACCCTCTGCTTATTATAGTAATAATTGTTGAGCATTTACTACATGGCAATCATCACAGTAGATACCTAACCTTTATTTCACATTGTATTTCCATTAAAAATATATCCATGTCATATAGTGATGATTTATCCTCAGAAAGTTGTACCAAGCAGCTTAAGATCTCAAAGCTTACAACTTACAATGAAAACATTTAAAGAATTCAGTCTGTGTGACTTGATTACACCACTGCCTCTTATTTCATAGAAAGGAAAAAACAGGCCAAAGAAGTTAAATGATTTTTTCCAAGGTCAATTCTAGAATTAGAACCTTCTCTGCAATTCATAGTTCATTGATCTTTCAACTATGTGACCTTACTTCACTTACAGGTTTTTGATATATGCAAAAATACATTGTTTGTCAGTTGTTTTTAGAAACAAGAATATTTTAACTTTAGAATATTTTGCATTAAATTTTTTCTTTGCTTTCCTAAGGACTTACAGTTTGGAATCTAGCTATTCACATGATGTTGTTTGTTAAATGATTTTAATGGGGTTTGACTTTTTTTCAAAGCATTGAGATGAAAGCTCGGGCTGTAAAATTTATCAGCTTCCTGTGCATTTCCCAAAAGCAGTATTTAACATTTTTATTTGTTGTTCTCTGTTCCTTTGATTGAGAAAGAGGAAGCAAAAATTAAACACCAGTAAATAACGTTCCAGGAAGTTTTATGCAATCCTCTTCTTTTTTTTTAAACAATGAGATACTTGTTTCTCTGCTGTGGCTAGTATTTTTCAGTCTATCCTACAGTATTACAAAGAAATATGTTTTCTTTAAAATATTTCTGGGTTATAAGAATTTGCACCCTAATAATTGTACGCACTTCTACAATTATTAGCTTAGTGGGGTTTGACTTTATTTTAAATGCACATTGAGCATTGCTGAAAATAATATCAATACATGGCTACTTTAGGAAATTTAGTTGAAGACCAATGTATTCAATATACCAGAAACAAATAACAGATGCCACAAATATGGGATTTAAAAATGTAAATTAGGGCTTCCCTGGTGGCGCAGTGGTTGAGAGTCCCCCTGCTAATGCAGGGGACACGGGTTCGAGCCCCGGTCTGGGAAGATCCCACATGCCGCAGAGCAGCTGGGCCCGTGAGCCGCAACTGCTGAGCCTGCGCGTCTGGAGCCTGTGCTCCGCAGCGGGAGAGGCCGGGATAGTGAGAGGCCTGCGCACCGCGATGAGGAGTGGCCCCCGCTTGCCACAACTAGAGAAAGCCCTCGCACAGAAACTAAGACCCAACACAGCAAAAATAAATAAATTGATTAATAAACTCATACCCCCAACATCTTCAAAAAAAATTTTTTTAAAAATGTAAATTAAACTTATGATATTCACATACATAATATGTTAAAATAAGTCTTCACAATGTTTCCAAATAGAAAGCCTTCTCCATTTCATATGGTAATTACATAAAACCCGGGTACATTGGAAAACATCTTACACTTGATATGGGTTCATTAGAGCTGGACTCAGTTCTGATTGATTGGCCATCTGTTCTCTTTGGCCTGTTGTTGTGCCACACTGATTTAAAATATTTTGATTACCATCTCACCCTTAAAGATCGTCTAGTCATCTCATGCTACCATTTCATATGAGGCATGGAAAAGAGAGTCAAACACTTTGGAATATATTACCCAAAGCTACACAAGGTTAAAGTACAAGATCCAGGCTTATCTTCTTAAATTTTACAACATCTTGTTTAAACTATCCCTTTACTAAATCAATCTTCTTTCCACATATAGCTACAAGTAAGATCCAGTTCAGCTTTTTTCAAAAATAATGATAAACTGTCTGATATGTCAGAGTCCTTATTAAAGACATTCAGACCTTAGAC